AGCCCCCGTCTGAACGCACCCAGGGAGGATGGCTCCGGAGCAAACTAATTTATGCAGGAGCCAAGTCGCTCGCTCACAACTTTAATGCCGGCAGCTCACAAAAGTAGAACTTTTGCTCACAAGACTCCTCAGCTTAGAGGGAACATTGCCTGGGACAGCCTCTCTTAGGTTGCCAGCCTCCAGGTGGGACCTGGAATTCTCCCAGAATTACAAGGGATCTCAGGTCTACCAAGGTCAGTTCCCCTGGAGAAAAAGGCAGCTTTGGAGGGCAGACTCTAAGGCATCATATACCTGCTGAGCTCCTTCCTCTCGCCAAACTCTGCCATTCCCAGGTGCCGCCTCCAAATCACCACAGATTTCCCAACCCAGAACTGGCAGCCCTAGAACTCCACCTACGTGTGCCTTCAAGACAGGTACAGTTACTAGATTAGGGATTACCCATAATTCTCCACTAATGTCAGTAAGAGCTGTCATTGTTTGGGCTGCCACTTCCTCCGTGGCTGCACCCGTGGCATGAGCTTCCTGAGGATATGAGCAAGGCCCCAGGGACCTTGCACCAGTTTTGCTGTAATTAAAAAGTGGAAGCCACAGCCGTTGGGTTCTCCAGGATCACTCACCCCAATCAGTTTCTTCGCAGTCTTCGGTATACTCGCAGTCTTAATGGTCTTGAGTTCTACGACAGAATCCATGTCATCCCGGTACCCAACCACAATCCGCGGCACTCCAGAGAGGAAGGACTGGGCCCACCATTTTATCATCTTGTACCTGAGAGCAATGGATAGAGCCCAGGATTTGGTAGGATTCCCCTCTGTGGAGCCCACAGTTCCCTTCCCCAACAACCAAAGAACTGTGGCTTCTGGCTGTTGCACAGACAGAATGTGAAAACACTGGCATTCATCCACACAACTCTTACACACTGCATTGGGGGGACAAAACAGATGTCCGTCTGCCCCTGGGCTTGAACTCAAGTGCTTTGGGCATGAGAAAAGCAGTCCTGGGATATCGATGATAAGTCCTCTCCCCGGACCATCTCAAGAAACAACCATTAAGGACCATCAAGGGCAATGGCAGAGGGGAGTGAAATCCAAAGACTCTGCTTCCCCTGGGTGATGCAGGCTGGTGTGAAGTTATGCATAGTGGGTCATTCTAGCTTCAGTCATGTGCTGATGAGGTCTGAACCAGCCTAAAGGGAAAGTGATCCTGGCTTTGTAATAGATAAAGTGACGAAAATGTTGACTCGCTGTGCAATAGTGCCGACAAAGGGTTCCCATGGTTTTTGGTTGGCTGTTAGACTAGATGGACCAGTCAGTATACACTAAGGCCCAGATGAGGGCTTTTCTTAATGGTTTTCCCCCATTGTTTCTGGCCCCATATTGCTTTGGTTTATCCCTTGATTTCCGCAAGCATTTTTGTGCCTTTTCCACATATTTATTTCCCTCACTTGTGTGTTCCTGTTGCTTGGGGGGGGAGGGTGTTTTCCTGTTCCACGTGGGTTTTACTCATTCCAGTGGCTGATAAGACATTATATAGCTTTATGTCTGGCATATCTCCCTGCAGATTTAAACTGCAGGGTTTTATGCCGAATATAAAGCACTGTAATATCAAATCGGAAGGAGCTGCGGTGGCTCAAGTGGTTAAGACGCTGAACTGCAGGCTGTGGAAGGTCGGTAGTTCAGCAGTTCGAGACCCGGGTGCCGCATGATGGAGTGAACTCCCATCTCTAGTTCCAGCTCCTGCCAACCTAGCAGTTCGAAAGCAAGACATTGCAAGTAGATAAATAGGTACCACTTCGGTGGGAAGGTAACAGCGTTCCGTGCGCCTTGGTGTTTAGTCATGCCGGCCACATGACCACGGAAACGTCTTCGGACAGCGCTGGCTCTTCAGCTTTGAAACGGAGATGAGCACTGCAACCCTAGAGTCGGATTCGACTGGCTTTCGAGCAAGGGAACCTTTACCTTTACCATCAAATCGACCACTAGAGGGGGCAAAACAAGTGCAGAACAGACTCCCCTCCCCCCAAAAAAACCCCACAAGTGAGGAAAAGGAGAATGTGGGAAAGTCCCTCCCCCTTTCCCCCCAGTTCTTTTGAGACCACTTTTACCCCAGTCTTTTTCTAGAAGTGGAATTTGAGTTGCTTTTTCCTCATGCGTAATATTTCTATCCGTTGTCTTTGTCCTGCACCACTCCCATCCACTTCCAGCCCACTTTTCAATGATTGAACTTGTCATAATAATGAAACCATTCCATGTCCCCTTCTGCCCCGAAGACAAGTGGTTTTGTTTTTGGTTTTTTAAAACTGGCACTAAAATATTAATATATTGACATACTGTTGTGATGACAGGATAAGCAAGTCCTCTCAATTCCCAGCTTTCATTTTTTTTTTAAAGGAAAGTTTCTATACCCTTCTCTTGTGGAGATATGTCTTTTTCCTTATATGTCCACAGGGGAGGAGTCTAGAGACTTACTTAACCTGCTTAACTTTACAATGGTATGTCTATGATTTAGTGGTTTTTTAAATGCAGCCATTATATTGGTGCATCGATATAAGGATGCACAGAAATGGGGGGGGGGGTATGACACCACCAAGGACAACAGCACCTTCCGTTTAAAATCCTGATTATTTAAGGCACATGTGGAAGACAATAAATTGGCTCCACAACTGTGAAAATGCAGAGGAAGGGCAGACATGTGAAAGAGCTGCCCAAACTGATCAACCACCAAGAAATCAGGAGTAAGTCAAGAGTGTGGAAAAGCACTGTGGCAAACAGGACCCTCCTCCTGTCTGTTCTAGCTTGGGGAAATGCCACAAGAAGGAAAGCTGAAGCTCACCTTCCCCCATGCTGCACACACAAACAGAAACCAGTCCCACCATGCTTGGGAATGGCAGTTTCCCCCACATCTTCTTGATCCAGCCTCAGTGCTGTGATTTTTTTTTTTTTATCAAACTTGTTTTCACTGTGTTACCATTATATATTCATACAACCACTTAGAGGTTGGCAACCCAACCTCCAACACAACTGGTTGACCGCTGTGTGAAAAATGACTAGATGGACCATAGTTCCCTCTAAGCTGAGTTAGTGTGAGCCAGCTCACCGTTTTTTAGCCTCCGGCTCACACATTTTTGTCTTAGCTCAGGAAGGATGGCTCCAAAGCAATGTTCCCTGCAACCCAACCTCCAAAACAACTGGTTGACCACTGTGTGAAAAACGACTAGATGGACCACGGGTCTGATCTATCGAACTACCTAGACTGAATCTAACTACCCGGGAAATGGGGGAGGACAGGATCCCTTCTTTCCCAGGCAGCCAACGCTTGCTACAGGTGCCACCTATGGACAATCGCAAGGGCTGCCCCTCCTTCTCCCTCACTTATAAAAATTCCTCCGATGAGCACAGCTTTGCATGGCTCTGGTGGTCTTCAGCTCCATGTAACACCCTGGGGGATCAGGCCAGGGACTCTGAGGATCAGTGCAATCCACTTCTGCTGAGAAGAGTAGAGAATGGCTTCCCATCTGGACCTGAATGACCGTGCAGAAGGCTTCGTGCGTGTTCACAACTGCACTTGGATCTGGAGTCCCGTTCTGGGTATCTGGATCAGGAGGAGAAATTGAACCGGTGTAGGTCTCATGGAAGACAAGGAAGATGGATTTCCAGCCTGTCCCATTCCGCTCTAAGGTCTAATTCACACAATTACAAAGTCCACATGTTCCTCCCATGTGGATGTTCAACAGATGTGTTCTGGAAGCTCCCTGCTGGAAATTTAATGCTTATGTGCACATGGGCCCAATTCAGATTGGGACACCATCAGGTAAAGAGAAAGGGTTAAGTCTCCCCCCTCTTCTACGATCTTCTCCTGACTTGAAATGGTCCTCCAGGAATCATTATTTGACCCATTGGAGATGGGGAAACTGACATGCATTGATAGCTGCAGATAAGTTTCTTGAACATGGCAAATGGTGCTCCCCCAGGGGTATTTTGGATCAGGGGAATGGTATGGGGGCGGGGGGTGGTTTACACTCCTTCTCCCCATGCACTGCCCTGATCTGATTCAGGGCCCCATACGCAATGGAACTGAGTTCCTAGCGTGGGACTCTCGGTGCATGTCTCCTAACAGCCATGTGGGGCTTTTGTAACATTAGGAAGCAGTAATGAAAACCCAAGGGGATGTCTAAAACAAGGTTCCTAGGGTTGCCAAATCTGGATGGGAAATTCCTGGAGTTTTGGAGGGTGTAACCTGGAGAGGGTGGGGCTTGGACTGCAGTAACTCAATTGGATATAATGCTATACTGTCCACCCTCCAAAGTAGTCATTTTCTTCAGGGGAAGTTGTCTCTGCTGCCTGGAGATCAGTTGTAATTCTGAGATCTCTAGGCCCCACCTGGGGGTTGGTGACCCTAGGACTCCTTGACCTTGCTGAGTCTGTAGAAATGTAGGGAATTTTGAGATAGGATAATGGACACCACCACTGCCTTGTTTGGTGTAGTGGTTAACAGCGGCAGACTCTCATCTGGGAGAACTGGGTTTGAAGGTGGGGCTGAGAGAGCTCTTTTGAGAACTGCTCTTGAGACAACAGCTCTGAAAGAACTTGTGACGGACCCAAGGTCACACCAGGAGCTGCATGTGGAGAAGTGGGGAATCAAACCAAGTTCCCCAGATTAGAGTCCACACTCCTAACCATTACACCAAACTGGCCCTGGAAGTGACGTTGTGCTGCTGGCACAGTGTCATTAAAAGAATTCTTATTGCTGGCCCACTGAGGGCTGTCAGGCAACAAAGAGAGGGAATGGGAAGACTCACTGAAGCAGGAGACCTGGTCTCCCTATTTGGGAGAAAAGCAAGTGGGTACTAGGAAACGCATCAGTGGACATTGTAATGTTAATGGGTGTCATGAGAATTCTCCCCCAAAGTCTAGTGAGTGTCTGTTGGCAAATGTCCTGAGAATTCCACTAGACATCCTTATCTGTGTGCCTCCCCTAGAGAACTAGAGTTTCTAGGCTGCCCCAGAGTGAGGGAATGATTATTAAACGGGTTTAAGTATGTAGCATTAGTATAGCCCAAGACTTCTTCAGCGACTCACCAGCACACATATACTTCTCAAACTTGTAGCCCATGTACGTTTGCTGCTTGGCCCGCTCTGAGCACTGCTTCCGCTGCCTCCGGACAGCCTCAGGCACAATTTCGCTGAGGTAAAGGGTCCCACAGAAGAGGCTCACGGCGAGCTGCCACCCCTGCCGTGTTTCATACGGCGTAGTCAGCACTTTCGTGAGATGCCCCCGCAGCGTCACATAGTCGACGTTCAATGGCTGCCTACAGGGAAAAGACAGTGTCAAGACAGAGATATTTCACAGGAACTTTCTAGTCTGTTCCAGCTGAAACTTCACAGTTTCTTGATTTAACTCCACTGTTCTACATAGTTCTTTGATTTACTGCAAGTGCTAGTCATTCCCCCACACTAGCAGATACTGGGCAAGGTTGTCCATCCAAGCCTGTTAATTAGGCTCACTTAGGTTGTGGTCACACACACTACGTAATCCTCTCTCAATCCACTTTCAAACTGGATTTTTACTGTGTGAACTGGCACAATCCAGTTGGGAAGTGCACTGAAAGTGGATTGTTTAGTGTGTGTGACCGCAGCCTTAGTTCAGCTGTGGATATGGTATGGGAAGGGGGAATTCACTCTCACTGGAAGATTCCATGGATGCTGTCCAGTGAATCGTTGAAGAGGTCAGGAGGCTATGGCCTGCAATTTTCTATGAAGTAATTAGCGAGAAGAAGTGTTGCCTATGTTTCACCCTTTTTGGCTCTGGGTGCCAAGTAGTAGTATGCTCAAGGACTCTTCACTACCAGAACCAACTGCACTGTGTCAGGATTCCAACAAAGGTTTAATCAGGGTATGAGCTTTTGTGTGCAAAGCACACTTTTTCAAATACAGTGAAATGGGAGGTAAGGTTCAAACTTATAGATGGTGTGCTGCCCCAGCCAGCGTTTAAACTGTAGTTAAGTAGAACTGCCATATATATCTTTAAGAGCAGTGGCTCCTGGGAATTGAAGTCTTTAGTTAGACATCCCACAGCATCTGGCACTCAGAAAGGCGCGAGGATTAGAGTTACAGGTCTCTTCCCGTGGTCTTTGTTATCTTCAAATGGCAAGGAGTGGGGACACGCATCCTTTTCACCATGAGCCAGTGAAATGAATTAGATCACAAAGATGTGAGTAAAGAACTCTTATGAATGCATGTGAAAAACTGAATAAAAGTGATTTATTCTACTTTGGCTGTGCATTGAAAACTGTCCAGAAGACGCTGTCGGCTCAGCATCAGACGGAACAGATGGGCTGAACAGCAAATTAACATGTAACATGATGAAGATGTTTTAAGCTATGCAAAAACAGGATTAAATAACAAGCTAAGGTTATAAGGTCATACCTTGAATAAACCTTTGTTGGTCTTAAAGGTGCCACTGGACTCTAGATTTGTTCTACTGCTTCAGACCAACATGGCTGACTACCTCAATAATTTAAAAGTTTACCTTTACAGCATTTTGCTTTGTTGGAAGATCAGATGAGATTAGTATTTCACCATGCGCAACCCTGGCTGGAGGAAACTCAAGTTGCTTTTATGGCCAGGCTAATTAAGTTGGTAGATTTATGGCTTCAAGTTGCTAAAGTGGACACTTTGCAAGACTTATGTAACCTGATTGTCAGAGCAATTTTGCTAAACCATCTTGGAAGAATTAGTCGTGTTAATTCAAACTCGAAAACCCCATTCTTTAATGGACATGGCTATTTTTGCAGACCAGATTTTAGCGAGAAAAAGCGAAGAGTCCAGTAAGACAGCATTCCTCAAGCCTATGGGAGAGAGGTTTGTTACTGGCCAACATTGAGAGGCCCAGAAGGACCCATTCCAGTTGCCACAGTAAAGATACTCCCTACAAGAGCGACACGCCTCTAGCAACTTCCACCCCTGGTGTCATTTGTTATCATTGTCATGAGCCAGGGCATGTGAAAAGCCAGTGTAAAAAGTGGCTGCAAAAAGAACAAAGAGGGGCTAAGATCCAGTTTATTGCTGGAGACATCTCTGTGAGACCCTCTTACAAGTATTTCTTTGTTTGAAGGAGGCTATTCTCTGTTGAAGGAAGACTTATAGTGAAATCCTAAGGGGGGTGTATGTGCACAGGAGGCTGACTGATCTGTACGCTGGTGTATCTTCAAGATATGCTGGTGTAAAGGCCAGTTATGCTGGCAGCCCTTGGGATTGCACTGCCAGTAGAAGAGAATCATAGGATCTAACCATGAAGTGTTATGCAGAACTCCCATTTTGATTACATTTGTAGCTGCTTGTGGGAAAAGTATGATAGTTGTAACTAAAGTGCCATGCTCAACAGAGATCCATGGAGGGAGAAGCTCCACAGCAAGGATGCTCAAACTCCCAGCCTCAAAGAAGGCAAAAACCAGAGAAGACCTACCTGTAAGCCTCAAGGCTTTTCCATCTGTTGGAAATATATGTGTTGCAAGGTCTAAAATTCAGTCATTATAGGGTTAATGTGTGTTTACCTTGTGTGCTATTGTTTAGACTGACTTGGAAGGGAACCTGGCACAGAGCCAATGGGAAGAGAGCCCGGGAAAACTGAAGCCTATTTACTAACAATCATTGGTTAATGCATTCAGGTGATTTCCTTCTAGGGGTTAAGAAGAAGAAGAATCTCCATTGTTGTAGACTGTGTGGCCAAAGTGTAAAGATGTAGTCTTAGGTGTCTTTGTTGTTTTGTAGATTTCCTGTGAACCCTTCCCTTAGAAATATTTTTACACAGAAAAAAATGCCTCTTCTCCAGTGAAGCAAAGATCCATTGCAATCTCTGAATATTTAACTATTTTGCTAATATTTCCAACACCATCCAGCTTTTCTCACCTTTTCTCCTTATCCTGTAACTGCTTATTGTTCTGGGCAATCCATTTCAGCACTTTTCCCAGTCCCTCACGGAGACCCTCATTCCATGGCACGTAGCGGTCGTGGTAGCCATCTAGCAGGTCAAATCTGGGAAATGGGATACTGGAGGAGGGTGGAGCATAGTAGCACAGCTGGTGATCATCTCCGCAGTAACAGCGCTGGGCATCCAGAGAAAAATGCCCCACTTCGACTGGATGCCAGGCAAAGGGAAAGGGGCCCTCATATAGAGATGGAGAAATGGGCAGGACAAAAGGAATCCCAGTGTCAGTTCTCTGGCGGGGGGCAGCCAGAGAAAAACGCCCCACTTTGGCTGAATGCAACTTAAAGGGTTCTTCAGATACAGATGGGGAAACAGGGCAGGACAGTGGAGTCCCAGTGTCACTTCTCCGGCACTTGACTCTCTGGGATCTGAGGTTGTCCTCATCGTCCCTTCGGTTACGTTTCCGTGTTTGGCTGTAGGGCTTCTCAGTTGACAGAAAGGAACCCATCCTATCAAGCACTACCAAAAATTAAATTATTAAAAAATCTGTGAGGGCTGCTGTGGCATGACAGCTAGAGTGTTGCCCTAGGACCATGGAAACCCTGACTCCAATCCCATTTTCTTCCCAAAAGTGTACTTGGTGATCTCGGACCAATCATTCTCAGCCTAACACAGGGGCTGCTTCCACATGGCGGATTTGCTCCACCTCAGCTTTCACACAGGAGCAGGGGGTTTCAGACCGTTCACATGATGTCCTCCTCAACCTGTGTTTCTCTTATCACCCAGTAGTTTGGGGCCACAGGAAAACTCAAGGATGAGGCCCCAGAATCATAAAAACACGAGAAGCCATATTGGATCAGGCCAATGGCCCATCCAGTCCAACAGTCCAACCTAGGTGCCATCAGGAGGTCCACCAGCGAGGCCAGAACTCCAGAAACCCTCAGGTGGCACGGGGGGAGGGATCAGCTGTAGCGTGGTGGCTCCCCCGACCACAGTACAGCCAATTACTCTCCCCTTCTAAGTCTGAGGCAGCATGAAGGATCAGCAGCAACTCCACAACAGCAGGGGTGTCAGGAGGGACGTGGCAGCTGGTTTGAGAGTGGTGGGGTCTCTCAACCCAGACCCCCTCCAGCACAGGGCCCAGACTAGCTGCCTCAGATCTCTACGGCTAAGACCAGAGTTTGCTCTGGTGCTTCTGGAACCTGGTTTGCTCCAGTCTTCCCAGAAACATCAGACTCAAGCCATATTCCCCCACAGTGTGGATGGAAAGATCTGGATTTATGAACCTCCCAGCCCACATCTTGGGCTATTTCCCTTCATAATCCCCTGGCACCTACCACCCCCCCCCACACACACATACCCCAGCAGGTACTAGTAAATATATTCTGATATTATAAAGTAATTTGTAGTAAATATATTGCTATATCAGCAATACATCTACTAACAATTTTTTTTTAAGCTGGCAAAACGCCTTGCGGTGATGGTCATTGTAGGGGAAATGCTGGGCACAAAGGGATCTGGAGGAAGGAATGGAGAATTTCCCTATGTGAGCACTGTATTGCTGCTGCAATTCTCTCTGCATTTGCTACAGCAGAAGCACTATGGAGAACTGGCCCAGTGTTGAAGCAGTCAGGGGTGCTGTGAGCCTAAAGTGGGTAGGGTTGCCAACCTCCATGTGGTGGCTGGACATCTTCTGGAATGACAACTAATTCCCAGGCGACAGAGGTCAGAGTACCTGGAGAAAATGGCTGCTCCAGAAGGTGGGTTCTATCGCATTCTACCCTGCTGAGGTCCCTCCCCTAGGGCTGCCAAGTCCCCCGGGGGGGTGGGGAAACCCCCGCCCGGTAGGCCCATTTCCCGGTGCCGCCGGATCGGGCCCTGGGGGGAACCGCACCCCCAAAGCACGTCACACAGAAGTGATGTAAGCACGTCTGGGACGTTGGGGGCGGGGCCACAATCATCCGAGGGAAAACTCTATGTTTTTCCCTCGGATGATTTTGGCCCCACCCCCAACATCCCGGATGTGCTTACATCACTTCCATGTGACGTGCTTGAGGCGTGCGTGCGCTTTGCACGCGCGCAGAGACTCCCGGAGCAAGCCGGGACTCCCCCGCTCCAGGATAGGTGAGTACTTGGCAACCCTACCCTCCCCAAGCCCCACTCTCCTCAGGTTCCACTCCCCAAATCTCCAGGTATTTCCCAACCTGGAGCTGGCAACTCTAGGTCATGCGAGTCAGGCTGGAATTGCGCAGCCACACGCGTGATCAAAGGAACTAAACTTCCCAGGCACTCTGGGGCCTGATTTGGCTAAGACGTCTAGCACAGGAGGAAAGACTGAAGCCCCTCCTCACTGCGCCATGCTCCTGAGTCTAACTGCGCTCCAGAGCTAGGTGCCAGCTCTGGGATGGGGAATTGCTGAGGGGGGTGGAGGCTGGGGAGGGGAAGGACTTCAGCTGGGTAAAATGCCACAGAGTCCAAATGTCAAAGCAGCCATTGTCTTCAGGGGAACTGATCTCTCTTGCATCATGGTGATTATTTAAAACATTTCTCTCCCAAAGGACCCAAGGCAGCTTACCGTAATGCAAAAGACAAAACTTTTTAAATGATACAAACCATCATTAAGAACAAACTAAAATACAGATGTTGATCCTGAGACTCCTTTGGGGTTTTCCGGTTCTGGCTGAGTGGGATTAGACATTTGTGAGCAGTCCTCTGCCGAGAGGGAGTTGTTTTATTTTCTCTTTGTTCATTATAGTCTTAACAGGGGTCATTTTGAGGGGGAACAAGC